AAGAGAACCCCAAAAGAAGTAATAGGATCCTCCTGTTTTATTCTGTAGTTTATAGTGTAAGAGAAAAAAAAGATTATGAGTTACTGGGCTTTATATGGATAATATAAGGATAATATAATATATTATTCTATACATATGTTCTATATATAATATATAGATATTATATAGAATAATATATATAATCTATATTATATATATAATCTATATATTATAATATAAGGATAATATAAGACTGAATAACCAGTCTTTTTGATTTTTTTTTTAGGAATATCTGCTAAGACAGTGGAAACTTATTACAGAGCTTTTCTCCTAGTTATTTTCTTGTTCATTGGTTTCCATTCTGTTACACACAAGGCTTTTTAACAAATATTGTATCTGTGATCCTATCCTGACAGGTTAAGTAAAAATCTCTGGGAAAGGGGTTGAGGAATTGGGCAGATTTCTAAAGCTTTCCAGCGCTAATGTGCAGCCAGGATTGAGAACCACTTTACTAGTTTTGGACTCTAGGACCACATTCTAAGGTCGATCTGCCTAATGCTCATAATTAATATTCCTCAGAATAAAGTTTGAAACAAATTTATGTGATTCCAAATGGCAGATTACATTAAAATGAAACTTGATGGTACATGCTATGCATTTCCTCTTAAAAGCTTTGTCAGGATTTGGAATTTTGTCTTTAGAAAATAATGCAAAGTCTAAATTTTTTGTTTTAATTTCTAATAGATGCTCACATTTTTAATGTTGGTGAGACTCTCCACCCTTTGTCCAAGTGCAGTGCTACAGAGGTTGGACCGACTTGTTGAGCCATTACGTGCCACATGTACAACTAAGGTAATCACTGATAGACATCACCCTAGGCCAGACTTGGTATATTCAAGAATCCTAGTTGATTCCATACCGTAGTTTTCCAAATTTAACCATGCTAACACCCTATGTATTAGTTGGCTTTAAAAGTGAATCTTTTAGGGGCTCCTGGGTAGCTTAGTTAAGCATCTGACTTTGGCTCAGGTCACGATCTTGAGGTTGGTGGGTTTGAGCCCCGCGTTGGTCTCTGTGCTAACAGCTCAGAGCCTGGAGCCTACTTCAGATTCTGTCTTCCTCTCTCTCTGCCCCTTCCCCACTCACACTCTGTGTTTCTCTCAAAAACAAACATTAAAAAATTTAAAAAGTTAACCTTTTAGATGTGGATGTTTTAGAAAACGTAGCACCATTAAATGCCATTCTTAAAAGCTTTTGTTTAGTGTTATAGTTATGTATCATATGTTGAAGTATCGATTCTGAGACCATAAAGGAGGAAATGGTGTATTCTGGTAGAGGAGGTGGTGAGTGGGAGTCCTAGAAAACTTCATATGAACACGATGACATATAAAATGGACCTTGAAAAGTTAGAATTATTTTTAGATTCAGAAGGAAACGGGACTTTTCACAGAAGAAATACACAGTTCATGGCAGTACATGACATGTTTGAAGAAAAATGAGTGAACAGGGTAGCTAGAAGAATAGTTTCTTGGAGGCCAGAGTAGGACTTGCTTAAGCAGGTAAGGCTCTGGGTCCCATTCTATTTTCAACCATGAGGGCTCTGGATTTTGTTTTTATAAGGCGGCTTTGTATAAAATGTTCCCTCAAAGGAAGAGAGCTACTGCTCAACAGTTTAAAAATAACTGTGTTTAGGTATAATGTATCTTTTGGACCTATAAGACAGTGGCTTTGCTTTATTTACCAGAAATTTCTACATGCTTAAATTTTGTTCAGGAGCTGTCTTTATAACCTATAATATAAATTTACTCAATGTTACAGGTGAAAGCAAATTCAGTAAAGCAGGAGTTTGAAAAGCAAGATGAACTAAAGCGATCTGCCATGAGAGCAGTAGCAGCATTGCTAACCATTCCAGAAGCAGAGAAGAGTCCACTGATGAGCGAATTCCAGTCACAGATCAGTTCTAACCCTGAGCTGGCGGCCATCTTTGAAAGTATCCAAAAAGATTCATCGTCTACTAACTTGGAATCAATGGACACTAGTTAGATGTTTGTTCAACACGGGGACCATCACTTTGACCATATGATGCACTGAATTGACAGGTTAACCATAAGACATGGAAAGAGAAGTATTTAAGGCTTCAAAATGTTCCATTTTTTTCCCTCTTCTCATGGAGACAGTTTGGCTTTCTTCCATTGTTGTTTTTGTAGCATTTATTTCAGAAACATGTATTTCCACAATCTCCAGAGGTTGTAAAGCCACTAATGTTTTAGTGGTTAAGGCAACATTTAAAAAATGGAAATTAAAATTTAGGATTTATGGAGATAGGGTCCAGTATCTATTTGCCCTGTAATGTTTAGGATTAAAATGTTGAAATTTTGTGACCATGAATTTCTTTCTTTTATAATTTTTCTTTAAAAAAAAATCAAAAAATTTTACAAGACGAAAACCATGTTTTTCTCGTATAACTTTTTGTTTCAGCAACATAAATCGATTTTTAGCTGGCAGACAAGAATATCTGTGTAAGATTTGTTACGTTTCAGAGGGTTTGGCAGTTTAAAAAAAGATAAGGTATCATTTTTTTTTAAGTGTGGGGATTAACAGTATCCCTATTGTGCACACTAATTTTGCATGAGCAAGTTTACAAATATGTATTGTCTGTAAAGCAGCATGTGCAGATTATTCATAATAACAAAAGTTAAAATAGTATTATTGTATTAGTGCAATTTTCAGATATTTATTTTTGCACAGAAAACATATCTGGAGAAAGAGAGAGAGAGGAGTAAATTTTTGAAACTTTGGTTTTCTTAATGCCAGTGTGAATTTGCAGATGTTTTCAGCAAATCAAGTCACAATAACAGTTTGCCACTTTTTCTATTATAAATTTTCTTACACATTTAAAATTTGAATATTTAAGTACTCAGTTTTTCTCAGTTACCCATTTGTGTGCGTGTGTTTCCAACTTAGAAATTTTTAAAGCCAGATGTTTCTTTCATTCCCTTTGGATCCCTACATTCCTTATTGAAGGATACAAATACTGTGTACACTTTTGAATTTTATTTTTAGGAAAATTCTGAAGCTGTCACAGGTTTGTTAGCTAATATAGTGTTTTCTTTTAGTTGAGTTAGATTTTCCCCCCCTCTTGTAGCGCTAATTCACATATTGTATTTGGTAAGTGTTGACTACTTTTCCTGATTAAGGGGTCTGTGCTGGGGGGAAGCAAAGCTTTGCAGTACCTTATATTGTAGTTAAATTTTTATTTAACATATCCTTCAGTGAGCTCATTTCACACTGTAGCCTCTTCCTTCAAATTTGTGGTGCTCCTGTAACAGTAAGAACTAACTTCTGAAATAAAAGACATCTCCTAATGCTGTGCAAACATAGTTTACATGTATTGAAGGAGGCAGTTGTTAAATCGACCAATTTAAGCAATCAGATATTTGAAAACTGCACCCTTTATTTTTGAAACTGTGAATTAGAAATATTTTTCCTGCTGTATAACTTCCTGCTTTAACATCTGAATATGCAGTGATTTTAATTGATAACATACTGTGGTGATTCGATTAACAGCTTGATTTCAAATGTTCAGATGATAATGCATAAGACATCATTACCAGTAAGGATTTTAGTACATTACTCTAGAACGTTACATGAAGTTGGTGCCATTTCAAAATGTGGCAGGTGATAATCTTCTACCATAATTTGCATAAAACTGTAATAGAAATTTATTTTGAGATGTTAGTATATTATGTACTATGCATTACCGTGGTATAGATGTTGTGGATATATTTAAGTATTTGGTTACATGGTTTCACAATAAATTACAATACTGCAGGCTCTAGGACCATATAGGAGACTGACATGCATATGTTGTGTGACTGTCTTAGTTAATTGTCTAACATTAAATCCAAATACTTCTCATGTATTGGATTTTTTTTTTTTTTTTAACTTCCAAGATGCATGGTTTTTTTTGTCTTGGAAGACAGCTGATTTTTCTAACAGCTGAAATTCTTTTAATACGAAAGTAGATTACACTTTTTTCTAGTAGATCTGGTTTTAGTAGTTTTTAAAATATATATATTCACATATATATATTTACATACATGACAGAATTAGTTAACAGAGAAGAATACTCCGATTTTAAATGTTGAGTCAGACTGATAAACTTGGTACTTATAGTGGTGATGTACTAATTCTGGAACCGAGGTTGCGAGGTGTGGGGTCTGGTCGTAGTCTGCCATTCATACTACTTACTGGTCTTTTACCTACTATGGACAACCATTAAGCAAAACCTCCATAATATGTAGGTTTCTCTGGAGAGCTACAAGTTAATAGAAAACAGCTGTTTGCCGATTTTCTTGACATATAAACTGTTTAGATCTGACTCTTTAAAAAAAAGTTCACGGGCGCCTGGGTGGCGCAGTCGGTTAAGCGTCTGACTTCAGGTCACGATCTCACGGTCCGTGAGTTCGAGCCCCGCGTCAGGCTCTGGGCTGATGGCTCGGAGCCTGGAGCCTGTTTCCGATTCTGTGTCTCCCTCTCTCTCTGCCCCTCCCCCGTTCATGCTCTGTCTCTGTCTGTCCCATAAATAAATAAAAACATTGAAAAAAAAATTTAAAAAAAAAGTTCAATACGGGGTTGCATTTTGAGGCTATTTTATGAAACCAAGGCAGAAAGGAAATTTGGTATGGCAAGGCCTAACCTAAAAATTTGTATATAAAATCAATAGCACTGAATAATTTTTAATTTTGGAGAGTGTAAGCAGGGGAGAGGAGATGAGAGAGAATCTTAAGCAGGCTCCATGCTCCACACAGAACCCAACATGGGGCTTGATCCCGTGACTCTGGGATCACTACCTGAGCTGAAATCAAGAGTCAGATGCTTAACCAACTGAGGCACCCCTGAATGATAATTTGTGAAAAGGTGGTCATGTCTTCAGTAGTGATGGCTAAAACTTTCTGACCATTGGGAATTCGAATGCTTAAAAGATTGAATAGTTAACAAAAAATTTTATGTAACCATAATTACTCAAATCAGTTTTTTTTTGTTGTTTTTTTACATTTTTGTTGGGTAAATGATAACATACGAGCATATCTATTTTAACCATTTCTAAGGGATTTTTGTTTATACCTCGTTCAGGCTCGGGGACAACAAACGAATGTGATTATACAGTCATGGTTGAAGTTCAAAAGAATGAGATATTTAAAATCCCTAGTCACTGAAACACTTCACTAGTTAATAAGCCGTGAGCTTTATTCAGCCACGTGACAAAGTATATAGCAATACTTCACAATTAAAATGTTGAAGTAACATTTTCTGCCCACATTAAATTTTACCAAAAATTTAAATTGTTAAAGTTAACTGCCATTCTTTACATATATTATGCTTCGTAAATATTTTGATATTAAAGAGCTTAAAAATTTCAGCATGTTTTGGATTCTAGCTCTATCTTAAATTGAATCCTGTTTTTCAAAGCAATGCCACCCCAGATCCATCTTTTTAAAATCTTATTTAATCTGTAGAATGGAAAATGGAGTAACACTTCATATTACTGTTTGGGAAAAGGATATTCTGGTTTTAAATGTGATAAGTTTTCCTTTGATACCTTTGGTTGTAAATATGGAACACTATGGAAGTCTTTGGTGGCGAGCTCCCAAAGGGCTCACCAGAGGAGGCCATTTTCTCAAGCATACACAGTAAAATTTACTTCTTTTCCTATTCCTAGAAAAGATGTTGTGAACACCTATGCTACACATTAGGACGAGATCTATCAGCAACACGTTTCTGCTTATAAAGTTCTAATTGAAATTGGGATTTTTCATTGGGCATCATAAAAAACCAACTTCAATTAAAACTAGAGGGGATATTGCAGGTTTTACTTTATTTAGACCCTGTGATGTCAATGTGTGTCAGGTTTCAGAATAGAATAAAATTTTTACTAGAGGGAATCTTAATACCCTGACCTCTTCCTACCTTTTAATTCTGATCTTAAGTAATTATTCTTGATGATTTTGGCAAATTCAATTTTCACTTAGGTCTTAGAAAAAGCTTACGTTCTATCAACTGAAAATTTTCCAGATTAGGTAGTATTGGAATTAGTGTGTATTTAGCCATTATCAGTAACTAAGGACATTGAGTGATATTATTCTAGAATGCTCACACACACACACACACACACGTAAAGAATTGTACTCCAGAACTGGTTAATGTATGGCATCATAGTAACCTCATGTTTTAGTAGCCTGGACTAATAACCCTGTTATTCTGAAAAGCCATTTTACTTGTTTCACAGACATTTCACTTTTAATAGAAGCCCAACTGCTTTCTTAGGTAAGGGCAGCTAAATGTGTGTGATGGTAGCTTACTATAATCCTAGTGTAGTATTTTTAGAAGACACACAAATGTGTGATTCTGTTTGGAATCATTACCCTCTATGAACTCAGTTTAGTTAGGCTTTCCTAAAAGGGCTGGAAATAAACTCCTGGCTCTTTATTCTAGATCTAAAATCTGTGCTTTCCTCCAAGGTTTAGATTTCAATGGAGAAAGACCTGTTCTTTTTTAGACCGGGATTTCTTATCCCTGGCACAATGGACATTCTGGACTAGATAATTCTGTAGCATGAGGGCTGCCCTGTGCAGTAAGATATCCCCTTGCCTCTACCCACTTAGATACCAGTAGTACCATCACCAGCCCCAGCTGTTAACTACCAAATTGTCTCCAGATACTGCCAAATGTCCCTCCCCCGTGTATGCAAAATTGCCCCGATTAAGAAACATTGTGGCAGAGATTTCTTTCTAGCAGCTAAACCCAACCGACAACTGTACACGTAGAAGCTTTCAGACCTTCTTGTGTCAGTTCATCTTCCTAAGTACTACTTCAGATGAACCTATTTTCTTCCTAATCGTTAAGTTCGAGTCTCATGATTTAGTGAAAATAGGTTTCCACTCTCTACTGTTCGCGCCTCTGATTGAAATGGGTGGTCTTAAATCCCTTAACACGCTTTTTCTCTGGCTGTAAAATGCTTTCTGCACACCTAATAGAAATAC